GGGACCCCGAGGCGTTCCCAGGCCAGCCGAGAGACATAGTCCCTCCAGCGTGTCCTGGGTCTTCCCCGGGGCCTCCTCCCGGCGGGACATGCCCGGAACACCTCCCGCGGGAGGCGCCCAGGAGGCATCCGGAACAGATGCCCGAGCCACCTCAACTGGCTCCTCTCTTGATGTGGGAGGCAGCGGCTCTACTACTCCGAGCTCCTCCCGTGTGACTGAGCTCCTCACCCCTATCTCTCTAAGGGAGCGCCCAGCCACCCTGCGGAGGAAACTCATTTCGAGCGCTTGTATCCGCGATCTCGTCCTTTCGGTCACTACCCAGAGCTCATGACCATAGGTGAGAGTAGGAACGAAGATTGACCGGTAAATCGAGAGCTTCGCCTTTCGACTCAGCTCCCTCTTCACCACAACGGTCCGATACAGCGACCGCATCACTGCCGAAGCTGCACCGATCCGCCTGTCAATCTCACGTTCCGTCCTTCCCTCACTCGTGAACAAGACCCCGAGATACTTGAACTCCTCCACTTGAGGCAAAGACTCCCCACCCACCCGGAGAGGGCAAGCCACCTTTTTCCGGTCGAGAACCACAGCCTCAGACTTAGAAGAGCTGATCCTCATCCCAGCCGCTTCACACTCGGCTGGAAAAGTAGTTTGGAAATAAATTAAAATGTAGTTTTTGAGTTAAATGAGTAAAAAAAAAGAGAAGTGCTCGTGTTTATTGTTTTGATGTTTTTAGTTTTGATGTTTTAGCGTTTTCTTATCAGAGGAATTAACTACTACTCTGAGAGACTACAGCTTTGAGCGTGGCTAATTTTACGGGAATGTTGGTACAACGTGGCTCATCTGAGTGCGGGCAAAGGGAAGCTTGTACACTGAGTTAACATCACTGCAAAAGTCACCGGTGGAGAATGTCACTGAGTTTGTGACCAGAGCAGAGACTGAGAGTTACTGTGATGAGAAGCGCAGGTGAGGCGCTCAGTGACACTTTTGACTGTAAAGGGGCCAGAGACATTTAAACCATTTCACATTCACGTTTCTCAGAGCCAAGATAGAATGACTTTTGCGGAGCTTAAAATAAAGATCCGGAGTTACACATTGAAAATATTCACATAATCAACTGTATCTGAGGATCATGTGATGAAGGCAAGAGCGCAGTTTGGCACAAGGCACGCGCCACAGAGCGCAAAGGACAGTGTTAATACGGACATTGGGTGTTATTGCTGCGGCTCCAGAGGCCACATGGTCAAAGCCTGTCCACGCAAACAGAGGTGCAGCCACTGTAAAAGAAACACGCACAACAGTGCGACGTGTGGACGGAGGAAGCAGCGGGAGCGCGGAGAATAAGGAATATGCTTTTCAGATAAATGACTCGGAGATGCAGGTGCCAGATGTTAAAATCAAAGGTCTGATGTTAGATGCAAATGATCACAGACATTGCCAAGTTCAAGAGGTTTGATGCCAGTTTCCAGACGCATAGCGGCACCAGGAGCAACGGAGTCTCCAAGCTCAGAGGAGACGCAGAGGTGTGGTTGGTCAGCAGGGGGCACCGTTTCAAAACAACGCTGAGGAGCGCCCTGTACATCTCAACATGTCCTCAGGATTATCTTCTCTTTGAAAGTTGCCACCTCGTGTGGAGACACGGTGATCTTCAGTGAGAAGAAGAACGTTCTGCTACATAAAGACAAAATCAAATTTCCCCCCCACACACACAACAAACTGTATGTGTATTATGACGTTCTCTTTGTGTTCTTGTGTATTAGTGGGGTCTTTTATACACAAATGAAATAAAATATTACCCAAAAAAAAGTTAGTTTCACTTCAAATTTATTTTACCCTGTTTATGCATTTAAACAGAAAAACAGTCCGCCCAAAACAGCATTAATGTTTTTGCTTGTGTGTACTGTTTTTGTAGTCGGCCTAAATATTATTAACATGTCTCTGTTCATGAGAGAAAATGCTTGGACCTTGACAGATGGAAGAAAGTGTTTGTGTTGCGTTCTACTCATTATAAAAAACATTCAGTGTTTGAGATTAAAATCCCCAAAATAATGTCTTAAAGTGAAGCATTTTGTGGTAAATGTGTTTGACCTCATGTTTTTGCACATAACAGACAATCATAAAAAACAAGACAGAATTATGAATGAAAATAATGTCCCACTGTTGTCCTCTGTGTGTGTAATGTCTGGACCTTAATCCTAATCTGGTGTTTTATCTCACTGAATCAGGATCAGGATTTATTTCTGGGAATGGTGCATCCAGGGCCCACTTCACTTAAACACACAAAAATACATGATATTATCTGAACAGGAAATGCACATGGCTGGAGTAATGTAATCTCAAACCAAGAGCAGAACAGACCAGTGGTCGAAGGTAAAGAAGTACAAAAATAAACATACTTAAGTACAGTTTTTAGTATCTGTACTTTACTAAAATCAGTTTTATAGTGGATACTTTTTACTTTTACTTCAATACATTTGAGAGCACGTATCTGTACTTTCTCCACAATATTTTAGATCTGGATTAAAAAGTAAAAAGTACTTTTCTTTAAGGTTTGAGACCTGCTGAAATGGCTGAGAGAATTTTAGCACATTTAGCACATCAAGACCAAGACCTGTCCAAGACCACAGAGTCCCGAGACCAGGACAAGACCAAGACCTCTGTGGGTTGAGACCGAGACAAGACCAAGACTTTTAAAGGCTTAAACCGAGACAAGACCGAGACCAAGCACCATCAAGACCAAGACAAGACCAAGTCCAAATGTGCTCAAGTCCAAGACTGAGACCAAGAGTGGTCTCGAGGCTGGCCTCAAGACCAATACCGGTCTATGACACTAGAATTTACAGTTGTAAATAGTTAACTTAAGAGGTACATTTGCTTAAGTAAAGTTTTAATATATTTTAAAAATTTATAGGTGTAAACACTTATCAGATGGTGAAGATAATTTTTTAACCAATGGTTCTATTTGTGTCATACAGTAAGATCGACCCATTGTGCTCATATGAGGACATCATTTTTTACAAAAACTACTTCCTGTATAAAAACTAAGTTTAGGTATGACACTTATTAGGTCCTACTTATCCCAAATAGCAAGGAGAAATAAAAAATGCACACCAGACAAAAGCTCGGGTCTCAAGAGGTTAATATCAGCTAAATTCTTTATCAAAATCACTGCATTTGATACTTTACTTGTTCTAAAAGAGTCTTCAAACTACTTTTACTTTGTATTTGGAAAGTACATTTTAAACAAGTACTTCAGTAGTTTTACTTAAGTATATTTTCCAGGTGATACTTTTACTTTGAGACCTGCTGAATTTTAGCACATTTAATTTGAGTTTCCATCCCAAATTTGAGAAAACCAAATACACAAAAACAGCAAAATAAAATTAAGAAATTACTCACTTAATATCAGCTAAATTCTTTATCAAAATCATTACATTTCATACTTTACTTGTTCTAAAAGAGTCTTCAAACTACTTTTACTTTGTACTCAGAAAGTACATTTTAAACAGATACTTAAATATTTTTACTTAAGTAGATTTTCCAGGTGATACTTTTACTTGAATAACCTTTGGCCTCTGTATCTGTACTTTTATTTAAGTATCAAAATTTAGTACTTCATCCATCACTGCCTGGAACAAACTCAAAACCAAGAACAGAACAGACCAGTGGTCGAAGGTAACGAAGTGTAAAAGTAAAAGTACAATACTTAAGTACAGTTTTGAGGTATCTGTACTTTACTTTAATCAGTTTTACAGTGGATACTTTTTATGTTTACTTCAGTACATTTGAGAGCAGGTGTCTGTACTTTCTCCACAATATTTTAGATCTGGATTAAAAAGTAAAAAGTACTTTTCTTTATGGTTTGAGACCTGCTGAAGACTTAATTTTAGCACATTAATTTGAGTTTTAGTCCCAACTTTGAGCAAAATAAATAAACATAAAAACAGCTAAAAAATTAAAAATAAAATAAGAAATGAACCACTTAACCTCTTTGAGATCCTGCGTCATTAAATTTTTGTCTTAGTTCCACGATACTCAATTTTTAAAAACTTTTTACCTGTTAGTCACATTGAGAGACACTGCTCGCACCATTTTCTGGTGACATCACGACATTACACCAATTTCAGTGAAAAAAAAATGGTGGGAATATCAACAAAAATCTTCTACAGCAGCTCCCAAAAGAAAAAAAACAAACAAAAAAACAGCAAGGTAACGTTTATATCCAAATTTTATGAATGAAACCAATGTATTTTGTGTAAAATTTGACACATTTTAGTAATCATAGCAGACTAGAAATGTCTTGTCCTTGTTTGAGGACATTGGGACTATGTCATGTTATTGATTGAACCATGTTGTTTGCTGAACTTGAGAATATTTAGATGAGTTTACTAGTGTTACAGTCAAGGTTATTTGTCTAAGAAAAGTAACAAACAAACGATGGGCAAACTCAAAAAATAAACTTAACTCAAATAATCACTTTTGGGCACCGTGGGCTTGTGGTTTACGCAGTGAAAGAAAAATCAAAATCAATATCCATGACCAGAGCTGGATTAAAAAGATTTATTTCAGTTTTGAATGTAAACAACAAGAGGTACATGATTAAGGCCTATTCTTGATGCTTCTTCTGTGGACTGGCAAAATAAATAAATAAATAAATAAATAATACTTGTATCACTCTCTTTTCTAGGTGCCCCATGGATTAAACCAAAACAGAAAAGATGCTAACGTAAATAGCAAATCAGGCTAAACAAATTAAAAACATAATATAAGCCAATAAATAAACCAATTGACAAAAAATAATAATAAACTAATCTTAATAATAATAATAAACAAATAAGCAAATAGCTCCTAAACAAACAAAAAAAATATTAAAATTAAAAATTAAATACATTGACGATCACCAGGGGCGGTCTCTCCTTATGATTGACAGCGTTCTCCACCAATCAGCGACGCTGTTTTAATCCTAGCAGCCAATCAGATTTCAGGACGCAGTATTTGAACTCACGTCCTTAGATTCACTGTTGTTTACCTGCGCAGATTTTCACTTTTACGCAAATTCTGCTCGTCTTCTGTTGTTTTTTTTTGTGTTGAGTCACTTTTACTTCGCTGTTGGTGTTAAAATGGCGTCTCTGGAGGTCCGCGCGCATGTAAGTAAAGGCTTAAATCAGCTTCTTGAATGTTTTACACCGCGAGTTGTTTTGTTTTGTACAGTATGGCGTCTCCTCCGCTCTTTACATTGCTGATAGTGCAACACGTGTGCAGATTTTCTAGTCTAAAGCGTGATATTTATAGTGAGAACTCTTTTATAACGCATCCCTGGTGTGTAGTTGTTTATATGCGGTCCTCTTTCTTTCTCTGTCAGCCCGGAGCCGGAGAAAACCCCGTGCGGATGGGGAAAGCGACTGCAGCGGGACCGAGGAGAGCAGCTCTGGAGGAACTGACCAACTTCAACCCCGCAGCAGTCAACACAAAGGTGAGATCAGGCTAAATTGAGGCATAATCTAATCACCAGACAACCGACCCGGGACCGCCACTGTGAAATAAACTGGTGCCTGTAATGGAGTCAAATGACAAAAACATTTTAAATGTGTTTTTGAGTTGTGTTATAGTTATACAGTTCATTTTATAAGTGAACAGTTCTTTTTAGTTGGAGATAAGAGCAATGCTTAACATTTCTAACAAGTAACAACCTCAGAAGAGCTCCAATCACCACTTTCAACAATCACTGTTCTCAGTGGTCATAAACTGTACGGTTTAAGCAGGAGGGATTTTACCCCCAACCTGAAGAATAACCGTCTTTGCATTTTACACTGTTTCCTGTCTCCCCAGAGAGGAGCAGCTAAGTCCAAGCTCTCTGCTGCTTTGAAAACCAGGCAGCCTGAGAAGAAGCCTGAGAAGCAGCCTGAGATCCAGCCTCAGCCCCCGCAGGTGGAAGTCCCAGTGGTCCCTGAGGTCCCTGAGGCTCCACGGCAGCTGGATTTGTCCATGAAGGAGAGCGAGCTGTGCCAGGCCTTCTCTGAGGTGCTGCTCACAGTGGAGGATGTGGATGAACAGGACTCTGACCAGCCTCAGCTCTGCTCTCATTACGTTAAAGACATCTACAGATATCTGCACGAGCTGGAGCAGCAGCAGGACGTGAGGCCCCACTACATGCAGGGCTACGAGATCACGGGCCGCATGAGGGCACTGCTTGTGGACTGGCTGGTCCAGGTGCACTCCAGGTTTCAGCTGCTGCAGGAGACTCTGTACCTGACCGTGGCCGTGCTCGACCGCTTTCTGCAGGTGCGACTCTGTGGGGCGTTGTGCTAATGCTAACGTGCTAACACTAACGTGCTAACACTCTAACACTGACCCTCCGTCCTCCAGGTGCAGCCGGTGTCTCGCAGGAAGCTGCAGCTGGCCGGGGTGACGGCCATGCTGGTGGCCTGTAAGTTTGAGGAGATGTACGCTCCGGAGGTGGGAGACTTCGCCTACATCACAGACAACGCCTTCAGCAAAGCCCAGATCCTGGAGATGGAGCAGGTGCTGCTGCGGAGCATCAAGTTCCAACTGGGACGCCCTCTGCCCCTGCACTTCCTGCGCAGGGCGTCCAAAGTGGCCTATGTGAGTGACTGTGATGGGACCTGTGTATATGTGAGTGTGAGGGGTCAGATCTAACCTCTGTCTGCTCCTGTCTGTTCAGTCTGACGTGGAGAGACACACTCTGGCCAAATACCTGATGGAGCTGACTCTGCTGGACTACGACATGGTTCACTTTCGTCCGTCTGAGATCGCGGCTGCAGCTCTGTGTCTGTCACAGCTGCTGCTCGAGGGGCTGCCCTGGGTCAGTACAGAACAGTCTGACAGTTATTGGAGCTTACAACTGTGATTTTTAATAGGCATCACTTGCTGTAAAACACACATTTAAACCCAATAGTTACTATTTTTACATGATGCACCAGTAAAGTCTTTGCCTTTTTCCATTCCATGCTGAGTGAAGGCAACAGTTTACTGGGGTCATCACTAAACGTGTGCTGATCAATGACTCTTACAGAGAAAACAAACATGGTGTCAGTGACTGTTGCAGTTGTATCAGTGTACCGTGCCACATTTTTTTATGGCACATCTTTAGGTGATTGACCTTAACTGCATTTTACAAATGAAATTATTAAAGCCTAAATGCGTAAAACACTAGTTGAGCATCTTGTCCTAAGCTCTGCTCTTGTGTCTCCTCAGTCTCCCACTCAGCAGCACTACTCCACTTATGACGAGGCCCACCTGAGGCCCATCATGCAGCACATCGCCAAAAACGTGGTCCAGGTCAACGACGCCAAGACAAAGTTCATGGTGAGTCCAGATCAGAGGTGGAGAAAGTGCAGAAAATTGTAATTTAAGTAAAAGTATCTTTTCTTTGCTACTTTTACTTAAGTAGGAATTAAGCAATCTAAAAATCTATGTCAAAGTAAAAGTACTGCATTTAAAATGTAATTTGAATAAAAGTGACTTGGTTACTTCCAATTATTTGTAAGAAAGGATGAGTGATAAATCTAATCCAGCACAAGTTGTTTTAATCAACTTTTAGGTGATACGGTGCAAACTTTGTTTGTGAGCACCGTTGTCTTAAAAATGTACACTTACACTGAGCCCTTCTTTTTATAGAACTTTAACAGCATAACAGATTAAACAAATTAACAATAACAAATTCTGAATTCTATGGCTGCTGGTTTCCTTCGATTTCCTCTCGAGCACCTTCTTGAATTTCGTCCATGTCGATCTCTGGCACCAGCATCGTCCAAGTTGATCCAAGACCGACTGGCGGTTCTGTACAATGGCTGAAAATGCCACTGGTGCAATTTCTTTTAATTTCTGGCAGATTGACTTTTTTCCTCTTCTATAAATCTGATTTAACTCAGTAATGAGGGCGGGTTCCAATGAAGTGAAATACTTGGTTCATACTCTACTAAAAGTAAAATGACCTATTTCAAAAACTTCTTGGATTACAAATTACTCAAACTTCTCACTTACAGTAATACGAGTAAATTTAATTCGTTACTTTCCACCCTTGGTCCAGATTTAGGTCAAGGGTTTTAATATTGTGTGACCTCTGACCTTTGCTCTGTGTTCAGGCGGTGAAGACCAAGTACTCGAGCAGTAAACTGATGAAGATCGCCCTGGTCCCTCAGCTCAGCTCTCCCATCATCAGGAGCATGGCGGCCGCAGTGGAGCAGAGTCACTGACACAGACCAGAGCCCGGGACAAGAACGCACTTTATTTTTCACTCAGTCCTGAAGATTTTACGGGATTTTAAATAAACATTTTAATAGTTTTTTTCTAAAAACATTTGTTTTAACACTGTGGTACGTTTGTCTCAAGACTTTAAATCACTGTTTCCAAACACTACCTCACTGTAAAAGGGCAAATCAAACCTTCTTGCTGTATTACGCTTTAAAGTTCAACTGTATATCAGCTATCGGCCTGTAATCAAATCCAGATTCTGCTGTTAAACTCTGCTAAACTCAGCTCTTGTATCCACATTGTAGTAAACACAGTTTGTTTATGAGTTCGATGTCATTTCAAATCTAAAATATGAGGGGAAAATAATATCTGCAGATCTCATGACATCTGTTTTGGTCTATTCTTAAAAAAAAAAAAAAAATTGTCATGAGAAAAACCCATATTGGTCAAGCTCCATTGGCCTCTTCAAGATTTATTTTGAACAGGAGATTTGAGCCAGTGAGCTTGTCCTCTTTTCTTTTTTTTGTTGTTGTGATGCTTTGCACAAATCATGCATCATTAAGTAAATTATCATATGGGTTTAATCTGGTGCAGGTTCAGTGGAGAAGGGCATTTCCTGACTGATTATGAGAACTCTAGTCTTGCTTTGCCAGGCCATGTTTTGTATTTTGTATTTTTACTACGAGTTGTCTTTTTATGCAATCGTTTTGGACATAAGTTTTTACTCGTATCTGTTTTTGTTTTCTGTTGTGCTTGTAAGTCTCTGTGTTGTCTTTAGCTGTTTATGGGAGATTAGTTTGTGCTTTCAGTTTGACAAAAAGTTCACTGTATTTTCATTGTTATGTCCATATTTTTGTTTGTATTAAAACTACGGACGATTTGTCATGTTAAAATAAATGCCACGAGAATTTCATTACGTAAAAATTCCATCCTTTTTAAATAATTAGTCAAAATGAAAAAAGTTGGTTCTTTAATGTGTATGGATAGATGGGTAGATTCATGACTCCATAATTTGGTGAGGTTTTGTCTAATATTTTAGATAAAGTAGTTTCCATATTGGTTTGGACATGTTCAGAGGAGGGAGAGAGGATATGTATTGGCAGAAAGATGCTGTGGTTAAAGATGCCAGGAAAGAGATTTATGGACAGAGTGAAAAAGGAAGTAAGATGTTGTGAGAAAAGAGGTGAGGATCAGAAGCAGAGGTGGGACCAAGTCGTTGTTTTGCAAGTTTCAAGTAAGTCTCAAGTCTTTGACCTCAAGTCCGAGTCAAGTCCCAAGTCAAATACAGACAAGTCCTAGTCGAGTCTTGAGTCATTGGCCCATAAGTCCAAGTCAAGTCCAAGTCGTCTGCTTTGAGCTTCAAATCATGTCAAGTCTTTAAACCAACGTACCAAATATAACTTAGATTTTTGCAATTTATTTGCCTGGAAATCCAGAAGGATATTTCTCTGTATTTGTTACACAGCTCCGTATCAGCCGCTGGTACAGCGATGAGTCTGGATTCGTCCAGGCAAGCAATTTATGTGAATTTTAACTAAATTGTACTTAAAAATCATGGTATATTTATATATGAGTATTTATATAAGATGCGTAGAAATGCAATTTTTTCCTTTTTAAATGTCTTGACAAAATCTTAGTGTGAATCTTTACGGTCAGAAAAGAAAGAATTCAGATTTAAAAGTGCGAAATAAGTTATTTTGACATGTAGTTCTCGGTAATTCCATCTCTTTTACAGTGCTGTATGTTGCTGTAGTACATGTTAGGATATCACAGCACAGCATATATCAACTGAAAAGAGAAAAGTATTTTCTAAAAACATGTATATTTTTAGGAGAAGTATCAAGTCTTCTGAAGTCACATGGCTCAAATCCAAGTTAAGTCCCAAGTCACTGATCTTCCAGTCCAAGTCGAGTCCCAAGTCTTAGTCCATTTTATCAAGTCAAGTCTCAAGTCCTAAAAATATTGACTCAAGTCTGACTCGAGTCCAAGTCGCGACTTGCAAGTCCCACCTCTGGTCAGATGGAACAGAGGATTCACATAACTACAGCATCAAGCTCAAAATTCTGTCAACCCAATTCTACATTTTAAAGTCTTTGTACCCTCATAGTATTTTTTTTATTTTATTTTTTTTTACCTTAGACTTCAACTTTAGATAAACTTTATTGATTCACAAGGAAAATTATTTGGACACAAGCGTTCACACATCACAATATAATATAATAACAAAGAGCGAAAATATAGAAGGTAATAATACATTCTAAATAAGTAGCAAGAAACAGGTGCCAAATAAGACATAATTAAGTCAAAATAAAATAGAAAAATAAGTAATAAAATGTAAAATCACAGTTTTGTACAAGAGGACATAGGAAGAGAGTGCAAAAATATGATGATTGACAGGACATATGATTATCTGTTACATAAGGGCGAGTTGTTGTACAGTTGTAGGGAGTATTATCTGTCCTTCTATAGTCTGGGGCAGTATGGGAGCAGGACTGTCCATGATGGAGAGGATTTATAATAGATTGGCCAGCCCAGCCCTGTTGTGTTCTCTCATTCTTAACAACGCCACTGAAGAAAACCAGAGAGACCAGCAGAGTCTGAACCGAGGCCAGGTGAGTGGAGGGGGCAGGTTTCACACTGCCATCTACTGGGGAAAAAAAATACACAAAAAATAAATAAACTTATAGATGATAGCTTTAAAATTGCGATTTCTTCTGTTAGGTGTATATGGATATTATAGATAAATTAATTCTGAATATTTGGGGTTTTACGTTTTGACATTGCTGGATATTTTCTCGTAATATAAATAATCTGATACATAATTTATTAGTTAAAATAAAAAAAATAAAAAACAGGCGCTGGTAAAAAGACACAAAAAATAATAATATACTAAAAATAAATAATTAAAAAATATAAAATCTTACGTACGCGTGTCTTTACGTACGGGCCAACATTCTCCACCAATCAGATGCGTCGTTTTAATCCCAGCAGCCAATCAGGTTTCACGTCGCACTATTTGAATTCCCGGAGCGTCGCGTCCTTAGATTCATTGTTGTTTACTTGCGCAAATCTTCCCTTTTTACGTAAAGTGTGCTCGTTTTAAATACTCTTTACTTGTGATTCCGCTTCTAACCTCGACGATAACATGACTTCTCTCGAAATGCGTGCTCTGGTAAGTAAAACTCGCGTTATTCCTAACATATTTACAGCTCGTGTAGCTCCGAGGCTAACAAGGCACAGTATCGTAGCTGCTGTTTTCTAATCGCGTATAAGATTATTGTTTAATGTGCGTTTTTTAAGCATATAGCTTGTAAGGTCACAATATTTATTTTCAGTCTGCAAATGTTATTAGTTTACTCCCAAAATCATTCAGTAATGTTTAAATGCGACATTGTAATTCATGATTCAACCAGATTATCCTTTGACAAAAGCTGCAGTAAGTCATGCATAAATGGAACGTACATTAATGATGATAATCCATTTTTTTCCAGCCTGGAGCCGGAGAGAACCCTGTGAGGATGGGCAAAGCGGCTGTACCAGGGCCGAGGAGAGCAGCGCTGGGAGAACTCACCAACTTCAACCCCACAGCCGTCAACACACAGGTGAGCCTCACACTCCGGGAAGTACCTGGTGTAAGAGCTGCCCAGCTGAGACTCTGCGCTTTGGCTGGAGGCTTCATCACTGTAAACCATTAGACTTTTCTAAATGTACAACCTCAACCTGGAGAATTACTGTGCTCGAGTATTTTACGCTGTTTCCTGTCTCCCCAGAGAGGAGCAGCTAAGTCCAAGCCCTCTGCTGCTCTGAAGACCAGGCAGCCTGAAAAGCAGCCTGAAAAGCGGCCTGAGAAGAAGCCTGAGGTCCAACCCCAGCAGGTGGAGGTCCCAGCGGCCACTGAGGCCCCCAATGCCCCTGAGGTTCCTGGAGCCCCGCAGCAGCTGGATGTGTCCATGAAGGAGGAGAGCGAGCTGTGCCAGGCCTTCTCTGAGGTGCTGCTCACAGTGGAGGATGTGGATGAACAGGACTCTGACCAGCCTCAGCTCTGCTCTCATTACGTTAAAGACATCTACAGATATCTGCACGAGCTGGAGCAGCAGCAGGACGTGAGGCCCCACTACATGCAGGGCTACGAGATCACGGGCCGCATGAGGGCGCTGCTCGTGGACTGGCTGGTCCAGGTGCACTCCAGGTTTCAGCTGCTGCAGGAGACTCTGTATCTGACTGTGGCCGTGCTCGACCGCTTTCTGCAGGTGCAGCTCTGTGGGGAGCGCTGTGCTAATGCTAACGTGCTAACACTCTAACACTGACCCTCCGTCCTCCAGGTGCAGCCGGTGTCTCGCAGGAAGCTGCAGCTGGCCGGGGTGACGGCCATGCTGGTGGCCTGTAAGTTTGAGGAGATGTACGCTCCGGAGGTGGGAGACTTCGCCTACATCACAGACAACGCCTTCAGCAAAGCCCAGATCCTGGAGATGGAGCAGGTGCTGCTGCGGAGCATCAAGTTCCAACTGGGACGCCCTCTGCCCCTGCACTTCCTGCGCAGGGCGTCCAAAGTGGCCAATGTGAGTGACTGTGATGGGACCTGTGTATATGTGAGTGAGGGGTCAGATCTAACCTGTCTGCTCCTGTCTGTGCTCCTGTCTGTTCAGTCTGACGTGGAGAGACACACTCTGGCCAAATACCTGATGGAGCTGACTCTGCTGGACTACGACATGGTTCACTTTCGTCCGTCTGAGATCGCGGCTGCAGCTCTGTGCCTGTCACAGCTGCTGCTCGAGGGGCTGACCTGGGTCAGTACACACACATTTTCTGTTGCACACATCTAAAAGTGAAAAGACCAGTGACTGTTGTTGCTTTTTGTGTACATGGTAAACGATGTGGTTGTTTGCTTGTTGGAGACAACAAACTTGGCACCATGGTAACGGTAAACAACATGCTGCTTTATTAGTCGGCTGTGTCTAAACACCATGTTGTAGAATCTAAAGGGATTTGTTTGACAAATGTTGTACATTTGATGCTGGGAAATGGCCAAGGTTTGAGGTAAAAGGATGTTAGAATATTCTTTGCTCTTGTGTCTCCTCAGTCTCCCACTCAGCAGCACTACTCCACTTACGACGAGGCCCACCTGAGGCCCATCATGCAGCACATCGCCAAAAACGTGGTCCAGGTCAACGACGCCAAGGCCAAGTTCACGGTGAGTCCCGATTTAGATCAAAGGTTAATATGGTGTGACCTCTGACCTTTGCTCTGTGTTCAGGCGGTGAAGACCAAGTACTCGAGCAGTAAACTGATGAAGATCGCCCTGGTCCCTCAGCTCAGCTCTCCCATCATCAGGAGCATGGCGGCCGCAGTGGAGCAGAGTCACTGACACAGACCAGAGCCCGGGACAAGAACGCACTTTATTTTTCACTCAGTCCTGAGGTTTAGAGGATTTTTAGAGATGACCTTTTTAGCTTTTTAAAATCAATGCTTTTACAGCTTGATCCCTTTTCATAAAAGATTAATTTCTTACCATTTTTAATATATTACAGACTTTTGCCTCCATTGTGGTGTGTACATAATGTTGTGGATTGCAAAATGTAAAATAAATGTAAACTTAAAATTGTGGTGTCAGACTTTACAAAGCTTTAATTGCAGTTTTTTTCTCATTTTTATTTTGACTTTACTTTAAATTCTTAATATGTAGATTCAACCTGGTCCAGGAGCATTCAGTTTTCTCTCAAATTAACTAAAATAACTAAAACACAAGAATCACGTGTTTCAGAGCATGTTATTTATTCTCAAATAACTTTTAATTCAGTTTCATTGTCATGCTCAAATGAGAACAGGTTTTTATGATTGACACGGTGCTTAAATCATCAATTAAAACTCAAATATTCTGTCTAAAACTCTAAATAAAACAGTTCTGATAGGGTTTGCTGATGTATGCATTGCGTCACCATGGTAACTAAGCATTACACCCTTAGAGGTACATGTAGAACACCCCTGACGAGATGTCACTGCGCAGTAACAACACAGAGGAGCCACAGTGAAGCCTGATGTCATTAATGGTGACGCTGCAGTGACCGTAGACCAGAGTCCAGACCAGAGCCTAGACCAGGGTTTAACAGGGACTTTGTGTGGGTCCAGAATGTCTCATCACTGACACTGGAGTCTGAAGAATTACATCATTTAGTCCTGAGCGCTGCCCAGTGTGAAAAGACTATTGTACATTCATTTAAGAGGCTGATCTCACCACTGCAGCTCTGAGGACTGGCTGGTAGAGTTCTCAAAAGTCTAAAGCCAGTCGATATTAAAACTAGTATCAGCTATAAACTCATTTCAGCAGGTATCGGTACTAAAAAAGTCACATTTAAAGGACAGAAATGAACCTTGGTCTCGTGACTTTGTGTTCAAAAATGCTGAATTACAACTGACAGTGCCACCCTCTTCATTATAAAAACAAAAAACAAAATCTAATGTGTTCGTATTGTTAAGAAGTTGCTACGTGACGTTTTTAACCTTAAGTGTATAACCTGGGTAGTGAATTTTCTGACTAATTGTGTGTATTTACAGAGCAGTGGGTGGGATGGGGTGAGTGAAAACAGGAATTTTCAGAGTACTGGAAATCTGGAATATATGAGGATACAGGATTAATTAAACATGCACGAAATCACTCTAAATATGTAAGAAATTGATGAAGGAAAACTGTCATAAATGTTGATTTTACACAATAGCCCTATGTCCACTTTAATGCAACAACAATTAGTTCAGTGTCCGATTAAAAATTACACACAACTTTAAAAGTATTGGAAGCATTGTATAATTTTCTGGTGGATGGTTCCTTATAGAGATGTTACTGCTTTGTCTGGAATGTTCCACAGTATGGCATTAAATCTTTCTATCTTCATGGAGACAAAACCAGGCCAAGTTACAGGTCAGATCTGTGGCCTGAGCCTGTTTTTCTAGGTATTTCTGAGTTATAAAATCAACTGTCAGGGTTCCCACGGTCATGGAAATCCTGGGAAAGTCAAGGAAATTGAAAATGTAATTTTCTAGGCCTGAAAAAGTCATGGAATTTTGTAAGTCCAATGAAAGTTTTGTTAAAGTCATGGGATTTTAGTATCTCTTTCACACAACTGCAGCGTTCTGTTAAGTTCTCATTAGACTATTATGATTATTTCTGAACATCTGTGTCTTTTGTTAAAAAGAGACGACAATAAATGCACTGACAGGATTTTGACTGTTATAAAACTATAATTCCAAACCATAATGAGAGTGGAAAGAGTTAACATTTCATATTTAGCCCTAAAAGTCTGATCAATTCTACACATGTAGGTGCCGTAAAATCATGGAAAATTCATTAAGGGTCATGAAAACCTAAAACATGCTACAGGTCTCCAGGAAGAACAGCTGATAGTTAAGGTCAATTAAATACCATCAATCAATGAACCTGCCCAGGGACCCATCCATCCATTTTCTTCTGCTTATACGGGGCTGGGTCACGGGGGCAGCAGTCTAAGCAGGGACTCCCAGACTTCCCTCACCCCAGACATGTCCTCCAGCTCCTCCCGGGGGACCATGAGGCGTTCCCAAGCCCTCCAGCAGGTCCTGGGTCTTCCCCGGGGCCTCCTCCTGGTGGAACATGCCTGGAACATCTCTCGAGGGAGGCGCCCCGGTACAGATGCCCGAGCCACCTCAACTGGCTCCTCTCGACGTGGAGGAGCAGCGGCTCTACTCCGAGCTCCTCGCGCGTGACTGAGCTCCTCACCCTATCTCTAAGGGAGCGCCCAGACACCCTGCGGAGGCTGGGCTGGCCTGGTCTGAACCTGCCCAGGGATGACAGGTGGAAATTAGCACTGGTGCTACAACCTGGTACAAACATCTCTCCTGTTAAGATTCATGTAAAAAATGTGCGCTGTCCCTGTCTCAAATAAAAATAAATAAAATAAAATAAATAAAAAGTTATGGAAACGTTTTGAAATTTTGTCAATGAAAGCTAGAGCTAGAGCTGTTTAATGACATACTGTGGGATATTCCAGGCAGTGCAATGACATATCCATAGAAACAAACAGGTGACGAACCCCTAACCAAAAAGTTGCACAGTAAACCTTTAAAATTATACTTTCTTTGACAGATGTTTCAGACTCTCTGTCCTCTAAACAAAGAGTTAAATCCATCCACGTTGTTTTTTAGTTCCCAGTTTGACCACACGGGGGCCTTCAAACACACAAACACACACACACACACACACACCCCACGCTCCTCTCTCTCCACTCCAGCTCCTCCACGCACGCACGGACGCACACGCTGCCATCGCTTCGTTGTTTGACCGTCTGTCGATCAGTGCGCTCCGTTTGTCCACCGCTGCAGACTATTCCCGGCCCAGACCCGCGAAACCAGACCAAGAACCGAACCCTCGCACCGGACCAGCTCCTCGTGCACCAAAGAACCGGTTTGCAACTTCTCGTACCACGCGCCCGAACGGTGAGTAGCGAGTACGCACGGTCCTCGTTTGTTTGTTGCGCTTTGCATTGACCGAACTTCGAGCCAAAAAACGCGCTTCGGTTGCATCCAAGGACTGGACTTGGTCTGGACGACGTGGACCAAACTGGTTTTAGTGCGCTACAGCTGCTGATGTGGCGACTGTAAAGATAAAAACAGCGCAAAAGAAGCTCGAAATTGGTTCCAAACGAGATAAGAACCAACATGTGTGCACCGAAACGACGTCTGGACTTTGTTATTTGCATGTTTTGTTTGTTTAAAGCTGAATTTCAATACTTTTATATCGACTCTCGTGATCGTATTCCTCTAATTTGGAGGTTTTGTTTAGTTTTTTCCAAGAGGACACCGTGTTAAGAAATGAGGGTCAGTGAGAAACTTGTAGAGCTTGTTGACAACAGGTAGCAATTTGCACCCTCCCTGTTTGGAGAAGAGTGACACACAAGTTAAAATGTGGTTCCCCAGTCCGAACAATGCGAAGGCTGCGTTAAAGGACTCATATTACAGTCTTTTTTTTCACGATATAATGTTGTTTTCTCATCACAAACAGACCTGGAGTTGTGTTTTGTTTCATTCACACATGTTTAACTCACAAAACCTGCATAATTTAAGATGAGTTTTTCTCTCAAACTGAAAAAACACTGTTCCACTTTGTGATGTCAGGTGGTGGTACAGGAAGTGCTGCACTGTGTTTGTAATTTTACACCTTCACTAGAATCATTTGGATATTTTCAACTTTGGAATTGCCGATCTTTACTAAACAAAAGGTAAAACGCTGCTGTTGACTTAAACTACAACTGTATGATGTCACAAGGTGGAACAGACCGTGTAGACAGACTTAAAGCTGCTCAATTATAGAAAGAAGCATTATCACGATTATTTTGGTCAATATTGAAATCACATATATTTTTTAGTTACATGATGCATTTATTCAATTTCATTTCTCTCCAGCGACTAAGTCAGGAATCAAAATACACTCGACGGTTTGCAAAAATCCTGGAAGTGTGAGTTTGGGCACCAGCCAATCAGCAAAGAAACAGACATTCTGTGTTGGCAACGATTCCCGAGATCGAGGATTTAAAGCCAGAACAAAGAGAATGTTTGGTGAATTTTATCAAGGGGAAAGACGTTATTGTTCTTCTTCCTACGGGATTTGGCGCATTACATACGTCACGACCAAACAGCAGCGATTGGTTAAATAAAAAATGTTCCTGCCTACAGTTGAGTGAACAAATTCTAATGCTGCGAGGTCAGACGGTTTCCACAAAGTGAAACCGGCTGATGAATCAGGCTACATTTATTCAGCATTTCTCTCTCAAAAAATCACTTTGTTATTGATGATTTACACAAAATGTTCAAATTGAAAATAAATATTGGCTACAAATATTTACTTTAGAGCAGTTTTGCGATGAATAAAACATAAAATGAATAAAATATACTTTCAACATGAAATAAGGCAAAGAAAAACATAAACGTGTCCAAAATAAACTATATATCCAACTGTTCTACAATCTCTATGTTTAACAAATAAAATAAATAGATTATTTATATAAAAATATCCCAAAATAAACTTTACTAAGCTTTAATTGTTTCAACTTGATTATATGAGTTTGGAGGTTGTTTGACACAGAAATTGGAATCAAAATCTCGATCAGAACTTGATTACTTGCACAGACTTGACAGACTGAACATAAAAAGTTACGCAAACATGTGAATGAAACAAAACACAACTCCAGCAGGTCTGTTTTTGATGAGGTAATGGCTTTATAATGTGACTTAAAGCTCACAGGAGCAGAGTGACTAGATTTTCAAAATTCCAAACTGGGTCACACCGGGTTGAGATGGTTGGTATGAATAAAACTGTGAAAAGAAAGTGTAACATTGCCCAGTCATAATCTGAGGGACTTCTGTTGTTGCATTGTTTTGTGTTATGGTCTTTTTCAAGCGAGGTTTTCTGTATTTGAGCTAAACAAATGACAATATATTCTCCTCTTTACTGTTGGTGGTCGAGGTGTAGCGATATCCAAGTGTCATGATACAATATCATCACCGTATGAACCTCACAGTACGATATTTATTGCGATATCGTGGGAAAGCTCATGATATAGTGGGGAGGCTCTTGTTTAGGGATATAACAATATCCAAATCTCTCAGTCTGATATTTTCATGATACACATCTTGCAGTAAGATATTTATTGTGATATTTTGTGGAGTGTAAACAGCTAAAACTGTTAATATGCTCCTTTTTCCTCTTAAAATGCCTTGACAAGACTTAATCCAAAGAACCTAAGAATTAAAAGTGTTAGAACTGTTATTTCTTCTTGTAGTTTGGACTGAAATGGAGCAAAGGATCATGGTCTATGTAGTTCCCTCTGTTGTTTTTTAGTTACTGCTGCACCATAACTCTTAATTTAAGCAGACTTGTAATTCGATATATTGTGATGATCCACGATGTTATTATTGAGAGAACTTTGACGATACGATATCACAATATTTTGGTTATTGTTACATCCCTAGTTGGTGGGGATCATAGTGGTCAAAAATAGGGACACCAGGGACATTTCTTGTATAAAACTGGAACAAATCAGTGGTTTTGGATAAATCTGCTGGGACAGGGGACACAGGGCTCAAAACGGGGACTGTCTCGGGGAAATGGGGACGTCAATTTTGGTTATAAAGAATGTTTAAGTGAGTTTCCTCTCAAAACTACTTGGCCAAATTATATGTATTCCATGATGGTTTTGGTTTCAGCGTCGTTTCTGCCTCTCTGTTTAAAGTGCAATAAGTAACTTCTCTATCACTTGCTTGTCTCCATGGAGATCCGATTGTTGAAATGTTCCACAGTACGTGATTACATTGAGCTGTGTTGCTTTTCTCCAGTTACATGTGTTTTGTGTTGCTTTGTAATATCGTGGAAGGACACAAATTCTCACTGTAAGCAAGCACGCTCGCCTGCCCATGGATCAGACCTGTAACCAGGCCTGGTAGCGTCATCTGTCCAAAGAAATGGATGGTTTAATAATGCCATACTGTGGAACATTTCAGACAAAGATTCTTCTTGATGAAAAACTAATACAAATGTCGTTTTCGGGGATGGGACGAGACACAATTTCCACGAGACGAGATACGAGTTTGGGTCCACGAGAGCGAGACAAGACGAGATTTTACTTGACAATTTGGTTTCCAATTTTGGTCTCACCATTTTTTTTTTTATTTCATATTTTTATTTCGATTCTAGTACTGCTTTTTGGACCTGTAAGACCTTTAACTCGCCGACATAAGACGCTTTTTTGTCTAATCCAAGCGTAAACAAAATCTCACGAGATCATTTTCCTCACGTGTGCACGATCTTGTGACAATTTTGTCTCGCGAGATTTTGTGGAATGAGATCTTGAACCATCCCGTGCCATGTAATACCGAAAATAGTCAAAATTTTTTCCTCCAAAGTCTGAACTCTGCTCCTACTGTTTTTCCTCTGCTTTTTCCTGACCAGGTATTGGCTGTAGACCCATTTCATATTTAGTCCTAAAAGTCTGATCACATTTTACTTTATTGAGTAGATTCAACTTAAAATTAGTAATACATGTATTTTTCTTAATTCAAGCAACATTCTTAAATCTTTTCTTAAGCGTAGCAAGATGTATTTTCGTATTTTGAGTACAAACATCTTGCGCCATTGGTCAATCATTTTTCTTGTGAAGTGAAAATTACTCACACCCTGATGAAACTTTCTTAACTCAAATAATCTGAACTCTGTTAGATTTGAGTTTTTGCAGTTTACATAGTGAGTCTGTATCTGTAATGAGTCATAATTTTTTATCATTCTACAGCTCAGATATGATTGTAGTATCCAAAAATAGCCAAAAATTCCCCTGTAGTACAAATAAAAAGTACCTTGATACGTATTGTCCTTTGAAAATCCATCTTTTATCTATTTATTGTCAGTATAGTAATAATCATAACAGGCCTACACAACACCCACATAAAGACATTAAAAAACGGTACAGAAATGAGGAACAGTATTTTCCCTCAAGGCTGACATTTGTTTTGGTAAATGAGTAATGTAATGTAAATGGTAAATGTGGTTTTGTTAACATTTTGTTATTTTTGGTAGTGTCCCTGATCCAGCTGACTTTTCTTATTTACTTACCAGGTAGGATCTACAGTGAGTAAAAAATGTAGGTATTCTACTTAAGGACATTTTAAAGTCAATATTTTTTTTACTTTTACTGCATTTGAGAGCAGGTGTCTGTACTTTCTACTGCACTACATTTTTAAACTGGACTGAAAGGGTACTTTAATACTTTTACAAGCAGATTTTTTCATTTGATACTTGTACTTTTATTTGTACTATAAGTACTTCTTCCACCACTGGAAGTTTTGGTACGTTGTTGTGGTACTGCTGAGTTGTTGTGGTACTGCTGAGTTGTTGTGGTACTGCTGAGTTGTTGTGGTACTGCTGAGTTGTTGTGGTACTGCTGAGTTGTTGTGGTACTGCTGAGTTGTTGTGGTACTGCTGAGTTGTTGTGGTACTGCTGAGTTGTTGTGGTACTGCTGAGTGAGTTATTGCGGTACTACTGAGTGAGTTGTTGCGGTACTACAGAGTGAGTTGTTGCGGTACTACAGAGTGAGTTGTTGCGGTACTACAGAGTGAGTTGTTGCGGTACTACAGAGTGAGTTGTTGCGGTACTACAGAGTGAGTTGTTGCGGTACTACAGAGTGAGTAGTTGCGGTACTACAGAGTGAGTAGTTGCGGTACTACAGAGTGAGTTGTTGTTGTGGTACTACAGAGTGAGTTGTTGTTGTGGTACTTCTGAGTGAGTTGTTGTGGTACCGCCGAGTCGTTGTTTTATGTTGTTGTAGTACTGCCGAGCTGTTGTGGTATGTTGTTGTGGTACTTCTGAGTAGCTTGTTGTGGTACTTCTGAGTAGCTTGTTGTGGTACTTCTGAGTAGCTTGTGGTGGTACTTCTGAGTAGCTTGTGGT